ATATTATGACGTCATAGCTGTCAATCCAAACCAGTTAGGTAAGGTGAATAAACAGATATTTTTTAAATAATATTTATTTACAGAAGAACCATGAACGAAAAGGATTAATCTGAATCTAGCATTTCAATTTTGCTTGTCTCTGCTGTCTGAGTAGTCAACATTACCATCATTGGATTTATGTACTGTATTGGACTAATATCAATATTTAAAATGAATTTATAAATATAATTATAAGTTCAATAGATTTGTTAATACTCGGTCAGTAGAGGCTGTTGATGTTCCTATTATTTGATTGGCATTTCGCTCAATCGTCCCCGTCTAGCTTATCTACCAGCTATATGACACCTACCTACTAAAAACATTCAATTTTTTCTACAAATAATTCAGTCTTGAAGATAATTATTGATAATAAATAATAATAGTTACCATGCAGTGGCGGTGTAAGAATATCCACTACCCGATACCATCCCGTGGGTGTCGTAAGAGAGGACAGAGGGAAAGAAATCAGGAGATGGACAGCAGTGTCTTCTTAATAACGACTAAAAATAAAAGACTGCGGTTGCCCACCCGCTTGCCTAGGGAAGCAACTTTTTTTAAGAACAAAGGTGTCACCTTACCAGCCAACGGAGAACGTAAGTGGATGCTGTAGTCCATAGACATCTACATTTATCCTCAATTAAGAATCAAAATCCAGATGCGTTGTCACCCCTGAGGACTAAGATAGAAAGCTTCGTTTCCAAGAAAAACGGTTTTCAGTTCTCTACACACCATACGAAACAACAGCATCAAGCTGTCATTTTGCGTAGGTATTCTGTAAGAGCGTGATCCTACCTCGGTCGAGCCGACCCATTCGTGCTGCAATCATAATATAGCCGCAGCGTAGCTCTACCACGAAAACTGGCGAATATCAGTATGGAGCCAAAAGCCCGGCTTCTGGTGTGAAGTTAGTCGAGCGTGGGGGCACCCGGGCGATACATTTGCAACTTCACTTCACATTTCAATGTTTACTTTGTGTGTTTACTTGAGCGAATCTATGGAATTAATATTGCGAGTTGAAAATTTATCCTTTTTTAAAGATTTTTAGTGAAAATGGAGGATAATATAGTTCCTTGTCATGAATTGAAGTGTGTTAAAGTGCTAATCGGCGAGGAAAAGGTAAAATCTTTAAACTTTGTTAAGAAAAAACAGCTTATATCCACATAAACAGTTATTGGTACAATTAAAAAGTTTACCAAAATTTCACGCGGACGTAATCAAATCTTTATTTAAGAAAGAGACGATTCGATTTAGAGTTAAATAATGTTTTTTTTTTTAATTTTGTACATAGTTTGTTTGTAGTTTGTGCATGCTTTTCTTTTGTTCATGTATTGTATTGTATATAAATATCTTTTTCTTTCGCTCAAGCAAACACAAACGGCTTTTTTCAAAGCCACCGAAGGTATGCAAATAATCATACAATATATCTAGCAGTAGTATGCATTCTGTGTACTTTGTTAAACACGTCCTCGACAGCACTGAATATGAAACTGAAGAGTCGAGACAGATCAAGATTTGTGTATTTTTATAAAACTGCTAAAAACAACAAAACCATATCTTGGGCTTGTCCTAGTTTGGAGCCCCAGCTTCACCACTACTTAGAGCGTACAATATCAGCAAGCTACATGACACTCATTCATTAATCATCATCATCATCATCATAATCGTCATTACACTCCATCAAAAGTCCGCTAGGTACTGAACATAGGCTTCCTCCATAGCTTGTCTCATAGAGGCGATATGTGCATTGGCATGTGGGTTAACAGCCACAGTTATTTTGTTAGGTTGGGTTGTTATCAGGAAGATGCTGCTGTCTCCTGTTCTATGTCCCTCTATCACTTCTTACGACACCCACGGGATGATATGGGGTAGTGGATATTATTACACTGCCACTAAATGGCATGTGACACTCAATGCCAATTAATTATCAAGGTTTTATAAAAGTAGTATCCAGTTTCTCAAAATTGCAAGACTTAAGTACTTATCCTAAGTACATTTACAAGTTATACTAAGAACTTAAGAACTTTTAATATATTTTACTTTACACACATTTACTTGCGCAACTGTTTTTTTTCAGACTCAGAGAATGTAGGAGAGTTACATTACTTTTAAACTTTTAAATAATTCTTTGCAAGGTCTGGCATCTTGTACAAAACTATTGGACTACTACTGCCGATTACAGACTATAAAAAAGATTCAGGGTCAGGAGCCTGCAAAAATATCTGTTTACTAGCGATCCGCTCTGGTTTCGCACGGGTGATTTCTGCACCTCGACAACAGCGCCACCTACCGGGTCCAATTGTGAATCTAAACCATCCAGGGACCTCCTGAAACACACAACAAATTTCATCAGAAGTGAGGCTAATTGACAGCAATTGACTTTTATATAATAAATATATATACAGTGGACCCCCGGTAATCCGGCCCCTATGTAATCCGCACCCGCTATAATCCGACATGGTCTATTATTTATTATTAGATTTTTTTTTTGATAATCTTCGCAAATGCATGATTGAACAAGTTATAACTTGATTCATAATTTTTGATTATTTTAGTATGTACATTTGTTTGCACACAATTATTTCCTAATGTAAAGTTATTGTATATTTTTGTAAGTTCTATAGCATTAATGAGGCTAATTTCATAATAAAATATAAGCTCCCTATTGTGTTGTTTAATTTACTAAATTTGACATACATAATAAAGTATAATTTGTACTTCAGAGTACATAATATATAACATATAGAATCTTATCATTGGATGTGGAATTTGTCGGATTACAAGGTACTTTTATAAAAAATTCCGGACTATAGAGGGTCTTAGGCAGTACTCTATAATCCGACAAATGCGATAGTCCGACACCGCCCTGCAAAATGTTTGTCGGATTACCGGAGGTCCACTGTAATACGTGAAGGGAAACTCTTAAGCGTATGGCGCGCACGGAGAAGTGTGATAATTGACATAGTTAAAGTTTATATATAGGAGTGTATAAAGCTAAAAATTTTATATAATATGCTACAAATACATTAAATTAAATTTAATAAATCATTCAAATTCATACTGTCAATGTCAAACACTTCATAGTCTGAGGTTAATAAGTTGCACAGAGTAGATTTCGCCAATGAATTTTAAAATATCACCAACAAATACTAACTATTAATTAATTTTGTGTGATTTCAAATATTCCTTTTCTAATAGTCTGTGGAGTGAATGTCTATATATGTATGTATATTTTGCTTATGAGATATCTCTGTTGTAATGTGAAGTTCAAAGTGAAATACAGCTTGTTTAATTTACAAACTTTAAAATTCTATGAATCCCAGTCGAATATCTACCATTAGGCGACCACTAGCTTCAATGAATATCCTGTATTGAAATAACCAGCATGCTACAATTTACTGTTGCGAGACTTGTTGCATTGTTATGTATTTATATAATGTAGTGTACTATAATAGAGTGACTGTAAATAAATTGAGTAAGGAATTATAAATAAAATTATTTATTTATATTAATAATAAATATTTTTTTTTATAGGATAAGGGTGACAAACGAGGACACAGTCCACCTGATGGTAAGTGGTTGCTGCGGCCCATAGACATTTACATCTATCCTCGTTTGCGAATCAAAATGCAGATGCGTTGTCACCCGTGAGGACTAAGATGGAATGCCTCATTTCCAGTAAAAAGGGCCTCCGGCCACCTGCACTCACCAAGCGAAACGCAGAGGTAAACCTCTACTTGACGCTGGTATTCTGTGAGGTTGTGGTACCACCCCGGTTCGAGCCGGCCCATCCGTGCGACCACTGTTAAAATTAATTAAAAAAGCACAGTAAAAATTTATAAAAGTTATAATAAACGGGTCGAAAAAGATTTAAAAGGTGATTCTATCTGTTATCATGAGCAAATATTTGGTGGATAAAATCGGTTCCCTAAAATCTCTTACGACACCTCGTCTACAGCCTGTAGGTGTGGAGTGTGGTATGTGTTTTTTTCTTTTCAATCATTCATCCCAGCCTACCAAAGTCCACTGCTTTACATATGCCTCCCCTTAGTCTGCCTCATTTGCCATAGTTGCCACTCTTGACAGGCGGGTTGGAAACTACAGTTTTGGATCTTTTAGTTGTTAGGAGACGCTGCTGCCAATTTCCTGTTTTGTTACCCCCTATCGAACTTACGAAGCCAAGGGACGATATGGGGTAGTGGATATGCTTACACGGCTACTGCTTGGTTTTTTTACTTAGAATAATTAATATTAGCGATGTAGGTAAGGCATGGGTTTTCTCTAATTTCCGAAACACATATCGACATGCCTTTTCAAATTGCAAATATCCTCTACAGTCTATCGTCATTACTTACTATGTCACCACATATTAAATAATATTAATTAAATAGATAGTTGTAGTAAGATGCGATTATGGGATACGCTAGAAAGACCTAGCTTTCGATATATGGCGGTATGACCAACACGTTTACGCCAATCGTAATATCCAAATCGGCGACAGGAAACTGCGTAAAAAGTGCGAAACGTCGGGTACTATCCTCAATCCGCGTGAAAAACGTGACGATTGCGGCAAACCCTCTCTACAGCAGAGGTCCATGTCCAGTTGTGGGCTTTTACGGTGATAATGAAGAAAAATAATAAAATTGTAGCTATTATTTTCAGGAAACTGCAATGTTCCACAATCAAGTTTACGTGTGCGACTACTGCAACCGCACCTTCACCCGGAAATACAATTTACAGACCCATATAGAAAACTATCACATGAACTCCTCATGCTACTGTGACATATGCGACCAGAGGTTTGGCACACCGGCCGGACTACAGTTGCATCTCTCCAGAGGCCACAACAGATACGGCCAACCGTTCCCTGAATGCGATTTGTGCGGTCGAATATTCACGAGGAAACAAAACATTACCTCTCATATGATAACTGTACATTTGCAAGGCGTGCGACCAGATATCAGATGCAAATTCTGCGACAAAACGTTCACCACAGAAAGGAATTTGAAGAGGCATCTGAATCAATTACACAATCCCCATTTAGAGTACCCCACTTGCGACGAGTGTAATAAAGTTTTTAAGGGTAAACATTCCTTGATAGCCCACATTCAATCTACCCATAATGTTACTGAGAAGGGATTAATCAAATGCCATCTCTGTGAAAAAGTCTATACAAATAATCGCAATTTAAAAAGGCATGTCGAAATGTTTCATGGTGAGAGAGAAGAATTCCGCTGTGACGTTTGCCCTAAAGTCTATACGTCTAACCAGAGCTTAAGAAGGCATACAAAGACTAGGCATAACCCTGAACATTGGACTCAATACAAATGTGAAATCTGCAACAAAATCGTGATCGGAAAAGAGAATTTCAACAATCATGTCACTTTCTACCACAGGAAAAATATTTACAGTTCAAATCAATATGACGCTTTTAATTTACGATCAAACTCTAGACAGTTTATTTGTAGCAAATGCAACAAAACATTTAAAGAGGAACCTCTTCTGCGCCGTCATGTGAAAATCGAACATTCTTTTCAAGATTTTTATAGATACTGTAAAAAATCGCTTCTAGAATTAATGGAAGGGACCATGGAAACTTATAGGAATAATTTTTATAATTGCGAATTCTGCAGAAATGCTTTCCCCAGCATTTACGAATTAAAGGATCATATGAGAATCAATCATGATAAAGACTACTGCCTCTCAAACTGCAACGTTTGCTTCAGCAAGTTCTATAGTAGAGAAAGTATGGTAGAACATAAGAAAATCTGTCTGCCACCACCTAACGTAAATACTTGCAGCCACTGCGATAAACTTTTCACCGATATCTCCAGTCTTGAATTTCACGTGAGAATTTTTCATCCCCAAGCTCACATTGCTGATTCTGTAATTTCCTCTAGTAACATCGACGAAACCTCAATAGAACTCGGTTCTTACAAATGTGCCCACTGTGATCGTATTTACTACAGTGATAGGTCTTTAAAACATCACGTCAAACTAAAGCACACTACCGACGAGGCCAAGGAGTGTGGTTTTTGCGGGAAAGTCTGCAGTAATAAATATTACCTGGCATCGCACATCAAAATAGTGCACAACAATGACACTTGGTCTAAATGCGACTATTGTGACAAGCAGTTCAAGTCTAAAAGAAACATCCGACGTCATATTGAGTATACTCATCTTGGAATGCAAAGATATAAATGTATCGAATGTGAGACCTTATTCAAGGAGAAGAGAAGCCTCAGGAAGCACGTTAGAATCAAACATCCCAATTCCACATCTTTCCCGCAATGTCACATTTGTCAGAAGCGTTTTGAATCCGCTAAATCATGCAAGATACATCTCAAATTGCTCCATTCGTTCAATATGAACACGCATCCTTGCGATCTGTGCTCAGTGTCGTTCAATTCTGTCGAAGCTCTTAACATTCATCTACAAACTAAACATTTAGCAGAAGAGGAAATCTATAAATGCGAAGTATGCAATCTAGTTTTCAATGGCCAAGAGAAATTCGAACAACATAATCAATTTTCACATGTCAATTTAGTACAGACGATAAATCGTAAAGTATTGCCGCGTTGTGTCATATGCACAAAGGATTTCAGCACTAGGAAAACATTAAAACGGCACATAAAGAAGTTTCACGAAGAATTCGATGTTGACGAATTAGCTACCTACGGTTGGCGGTTGAGGGAGACCAACGTTGAATGTGAAGATTGCATCAAAAATTTCAACGACGAATTTCACTTCAATGTGTACCAAGAGCTGAAGCATTTGAGGGAATCTATCATATTCAGATGCGAAACATGTTTTTCATCTTACAATGCATTCGAATACTCCATTCAGAGGTATAAACTCGCCAATTTAAATACTTGTAAGAGTAAATTGATTTTAAGTGAGCTTTGCACTACGGAAATGAGTGATAGTGAAGTAACTCACCACGCCCAATCCACAGAGATCATGGAACCGGAGAGCACCACTAATGACATCAAAGTTGAGCCACCGGATGTATTATATGAGATTAAGACTGAACCTATGTCTCCGTAAACTTAATATTTAGAATTATAGTACGAGATGTTGACGATTTTCGACGAGTTATTTTAGGCACTCTTAGAAATTTCAGAACAGTCCCTACCTATATACTGGACAAATTAAAAATGGAAGGCCAGGCCGTTATAGTTATTTTGTACTTTTCATCATTTATCATTATATCCCTCCACAAGTCCGCTGTTGAACTTAGGCCTTCTCAAGGAATAACACATACTTAACACTTTTTATATATGTTACGCGATATCTTTAGTATAGTTTTAGTACTTTAGGCAGGCCTTTGTCACTCTTGCGACCTGCTTGAAATAATTACCTACAATCGCGAGCTGCCCCAGTGGTAGATCGCAGTCGGGGCTAGCGCGCTCTAGGTGATTGAATGTTAGTTTTTTTTAAGGCTGTTTACGTAAATAATTTTTTGTAAATACTTGTTGAAATACTCGACGGAATAGTTTTTGTTTAGTGTTTAGTATATTTAATTGTAGGATAAAATAGTTGAAAAAGTTTTAATGTAATTTAAGAATAATATATACTCCTATGTATATTACCTATTTATTTGATAAATTATAATGGAAAAACGTCGTTTCTACTAAATGCTTTTACAAAAATTTACTTCGCAAATATCCGCGTTATAAAATAAAATGATGTGTCTTACCTAGTATGAAGAAGCACCTCCCGCCCTCCCTCAATTGCGTGCACTATCCCCGTCACCACTAATCCCAGCACCGCTACTTCCAACACCACTACACTGGGCAAGACACACCACTGACGATAATACGACACGTGTTTCGCCTCTACACGAGGCATCCTCAGGTGATATAGACTCTACGGTGGCTAACCGCTAAGAATTGCTTGAGGGAGGGCGGGAGGTGCTTCTTCATACTAGGTAAGACACATCATTTTATTTTATAACGCGGATATTTGCGAAGTAAATTTTTGTAAAAGCATTTATATAATGGATTTCCGCAAAGTAACGCCTGATTCTATTAATTATGTCGTTTCTACTATAATTGTTGCGGGGATGGATGCTTAATGAGCAATTAAAAGGATTCAGATATATAATTTTTTGAGTCACTGAAGGATAATGAAAGGTAAATTTATTTAATTTTAAATAAGAATAAAAATTATCAAATAATAATTTAACTACAGAAGTAATACCTAAGTACTTTATTACAAAACTTAGTTGAAATTTACTTCACTACCCAAGTACCTATACTCGCCTTTGTAATTAAAATATTTTAAGTTATAATAGCACAAAATACTGAAATGAAAACTTTGTTTACAAGATTTTCAACTAAGTAGATTACGATCATATTTCTGTTAGGAATCGTATTTCGGGTTTATTTGTTGTTTACGCTATCTACCTATACGAACCAAGCATCGCGATTCCCGACGAATGGCCTTGCAAGTTGCATGCGTTTGGCATCACAGAACTCACATAGTAGATAATATGGTCGATTATAGTCGGCATAGGTACTTTACCTAAGTAACTTACCATTTCGCAATCTATTTTTTTACTCTTTATTAACAGCCCTTAGCAACCACGGAAAGTCCGTTGTGACGTAGTAAGGAGGAAAGATGCAAAGTAATACGGACACTCGCGCGCAGCGATAAAGTTTTATTTAGCTTGCGTGCGCGATTTATCTGATTAATAATAACTATGGATGCTATTATAAGTTCGACAAGCAGTCAACATCAAAAGAGTGCAACTTCTGTAATTATTTATTGTGCTTTAGGGATAGTCCCATACAAATTTGGAGCAAAAATTATATTCTAAAGGTGACCAAATACGGGTTGAAGTTGGGTGTGGAAGCGGGATGAAGAATCTATTTAGACTACGTTATGATTGTGATATTCCTTATGCTACTCAAAAGGGTAAACAATTAACTTTTAATAAAAAGTAAAAGCTTATTTCAAACAACTACTCAGAATAAAATAATTGAGTGAAATATGTATTAATAATTTACACTACACTATGTCTTGGCACTGACTACAGAATGTAAGTTATTTTATTGTTTTTAGTTTTACTAAGGTAAGCTTTTACGTTTTATCGTAACCGTTACAACCTATTAAAGCCGACTGGTGAACATAAGCCTCCCCCTTAGATTGCCTCATAGGGGGGGGGGGGGGGGGATGGCAAGCAGGTTTTTCAACGGCAATTTTTATTTTTATTAGGAAGACGCTGCTGCCCAGCTTGTTTCCCTCTGTCGCCACTATACGGTGTACTTTTACTTTGAGTTAATTACAATGTGTCTGATAGATGAAATAATTTATAATTAACAATTTTGTACAACCGACTTCAATTTAAATTATTCAGAATAACTCAAAAACTATTGGTCAGTTCTTACTAAATTTATATGGGATCAGACGACAAGCACCAGCTTTCAAATAAAACAAGAATCATCGAAATCGGTTCACCCAGAGAAAAGTTATGAGGTAACACAGGTATTGCGCAAAGCTTCATGTGGATCAATATTTAATTATTTATATTTGTTACGCTTTTCGATTCGAACGAATCTCTTTTTTATTATTAAATATAAATTAATTAATAAACTTAAATTATAGGTAGTTGAGTTGGAAAATGACACTGAAATAGAGTGTCTAAATTCAGAAATGTTGTCACTTAAAAACTCCCTGCAAATTATATCAAATAAACATGCATCGACTCAGGATTTTTCTGTCGTTTTTTTTTTTTAAGAAACGTTACCCCCACACTAGGATTTTCTCCTGTGTCCCGCTCCTGAACCCGCGGCCCCCAGCGCAACAACTGATTGCTAAGCCACTGCGCCACGGAACCGTCTAGTCAAGTGGTGGTAAGTAGTCCTACTGCAGCCCATGGACACCTGCAACCAACTTCAAGCAAAGGCTACAGATGCGAAGTCACCTCTGAGGACTAAGTTGTAATGGTTCACAACCTGTTATTATACTGGCTCTATACGCTTCGGGCTGGAACACAGCAGTGCACACACTGTTGCTTGGCATCAGACATAGGTAACAGGGTGGTGCCTACCCAAGGTAACTCCTAGGTGGAAAAAGGAGTGCTAGCACTTAGTAAATTTTTGTAAATTTAGTTCATTAACTAACCCAACGCATAAAATAGAAGCTCATAACCCACGAAGAGGACTTAAACAAGTTGGCGCGCCAAGTGACAGAGACAGCAGGTCTTGTTGACTATTTCTACTAGACCCTGCTTACACCTACGAGTACGAAAGAAGCAATTCGTATTTCGACAAATCCCTTTCTACACTCCACTGACATAGAAGTGGTGGTAAGTAATAAGTAGGAAGTAAGAGGGTGGTACCTATCCAAGTATAATGTTACGAGTAGTTGCCGGAATCACGCGAGCAATGCCGACCAGGCTGGCGCCGCCAGGGCGCGCCGAAACACGACACTATGTATCCGAGCGTCGGCGTGTGCGACAGGTCTTGTGAGAATAATAACTTGAGTGTTAAAAGTATTAAATGAAACTAAAGTGATTGAATGTATTGAGGTATAATGAACAGTTGATTGTACAAGTGAATTAAATTGTATTGCAGCATAAGAAACGTTTCATTTTACATTCAGAAGTGGGATTTTAATAAAAGAACTTAAAATGAAGCGATCAAAAAAATATAGGAACAGTGTCCTTTTAAACAGTAACTCAAAAAAATCTAGATCTCAGTCGGATATCGCGACTAGTGCTGGGACGTTACACATAGATCAAATACATAGTCATGGGTCATCTAATCACGGTGATTCTGAAGAAGATATACATCCTAATGTGTTACTTGAGCAATTATTAACCGATAAATTAGAAAAGATGGTTGAAAAGTTTTGTGGTGATTCACGGCCGTTGCGGAATGTTTCGGGTGAGAAAATTATACCTACGTTTGATCCGGATAATTATGACACTAATATTAAAAATTGGTTGGCAAAAATTGATCAATTAGGTATGGTTCACAAATGGAATCACTACTCTAAAATAGTCATAATGCAAACTCGTCTTGTAGGCCAAGCTCAGTTATGGTTTAGTCGTCTTGACGAATATAATTATACTTGGGATCAATGGAAATCTTTATTGATCAAAGCATTTCCTAGAAGTTTCGAGTATGCTGACATGTTAGAAGAATTAGTATCCAGGAAAAAGTTGCATAATGAAACAATCACACATTATTATCATGATAAATTAGCAATGTGTCATCGCTGTAGACTTGACGACGCCGCCTCTCTCTCTTGTTTAATTAAAGGGCTGCCACACGATTTACAAAATAATGCAAAAGCATTTAAATGTGAAACTCCTGAACAATTCTATTCAGGTTACTTGTCCGCTTTTGAGAATTATAAAAATAAACCGGATCTGAGAAAAGTAGAATCGACCAACATAAGTTATACACGTAATAATAGATTAGAAGCGGAGAAGCGAAATTCTGATTTAGCCATACCAACCACATCACGTCCCTGGCCACCATCGACCTCCCGGCGAATGAATTGCTTTAGATGTAATTCTACTGAGCATATGGTTAAAGATTGCCCTGTTCCGGATAGGAGAGTGTGTAGATTTTGTTCTGAAACCGGACATAATATAAATCGTTGCCCCAAAATAGAAAATATGATGAATAAATCGAAGGGCCAATCCGTGTCGATAAATTTAGTGCAAAACTTAAATGATATTTATAAAAAAAAGCGTGGAGGTAGCGGGAAGAATTTTTCTGGTTATTTGGATACTGGAGCACAGTTAAATGTAATATCCTTAAGTGCAATTAAAATATTAAATTATGACGTACGACCAACAGATGCATTGCTAAAAGGATTTACTGGAAATACAGTGCCGGCTATGGGCCGAGTAAATCTAACAATGACTATTGATGGTCTGAGTTTCAATACCACAGCAGTGGTGACGCATACGAAGCTGCCTGCCGAGGTTGATATACTGATCGGACAACCTGTAATTAACTCTGAAGGCATATCACTCGTCACAACTCAGAATTCAGCTCTATTGAAAGAAAATAATGTGTACGATGATA